CCCTAATGCATTCTGGAATAGGAAGGTCTCAAAAGTCCACCTCGGCAGGAATAGATTGATACCGTCCAACAATAACAAGTCCTGAAACCCTTGAGATCGCAAGCTCTAAATCCAGAATCCAACTCCTTTTACGCAGCCTACCTGTCCGTCCTCCACGTGTACGAAAGCTTCGGCTGGTGGCGCCGCGCGGACTACCTCAAAGTCCACTTCGCCGAGTCGTGGAACGAGCTGCACCACTTGCTAATCATGGAGGCGCTCGGGGGCGACAAGCGCTGGCTCGACCGTTTCCTGGCGCAACACGTGGCAGTCGCGTATTACACCGTCGCGGCGCTCATGTACATTGTCAGTCCCAGGATGTCCTGTGAGTGTCAAAGGCTTGTTTCTGTGTCACACGTGGCGGCCAGTGCTTGGACGTGGCCGTTTTGAGTGATACTAAAACGATCCTGTCGTTGCTTTCTTCTTCCGTTCTCTTGCCTCTTCCTCTTTCCGCATCGGCTGCTTCTGAGGCGGAACACTGCGTGCGCTAAAAGCTTAGGCGTGATGGTAAGAACGCGCGGGTCGTTCTAGTCATTACCTTGCACCGAGTCCCGTCTCTCCTTTCCGTTTGCCGACACACAAGCGTCACGGGAGAGCTGCACGGTGTCAGCTCTCCCGTCAGCTTAGGCGTGACGGTGGAAAGGCGCGGTTCTTCTTTAGTCATTGCCTTGCACCGAGTCCTCGTCTCTCCTTTCCGTCTGCCTGCCACACAAGTATCACGGGAGAGCTGACTCCGTGCACGTCCGCTTGCAGACCATCTGAACGAGTGCGTGGAGAAGCACGCCTATCATACGTACGACAAGTTCGTCAAGGAGTTCGGCGACAAGCTCAAGCTCAAGCCGCCGCCGGAGGTCGCCGTCCGGTACTACACCGAAGGAGACCTGTACATGTTTGGTGAGGCTATAAGCCGGCTCCAAATTGGCGTAGAATCGAACTTGAACAGAGCCGTCTGTTTCCAATCTTGCTTTGTGGTCGGTGCACCGCCTTCGAATTGGCGGGTCTTGGAGATTGAAACTCCCGTGAGCAATGTGGGGGCGATTCGCTTAGCAGACTGCGAACAGTGTTGCTCGAAATGGATCCGTGCCTGATAGTATCGAACGGAGGCATTCCTTCCGTTTCCGAGCAGGAGCGCGAACACTTATTGAACCAAACTGAAGATTCCGTTCCCTTTCGCTCCGCGCAGATGAGTTCTAAACGGCACAGGTGCCCGGAGAAAGGCGACCAAAGATTGGTGAGCGGAGCGGCTTAGCGGCGGAACAAAGTCCGGCTCTCGAAGAATGTACTGCGCACCGATCGCGAAAGCTTCAGTTGCATCAACAAGAAAGGTTTTAGCAGCACCGAGATCCTCACACGCAATGTGCCGCCCATCTCAGCGGCTAGCTTGCAGCACCCAGGTTTCGGCCAGGATCGAAGCACCTCTTTGCAAAGCACCTCTTTACAACAAAGAAAAGGACGATGATTCTGACGGGTGGTTTGTTGTGCAGAGAACCTGTACGACGTGTTTATCAACATCAGGAACGACGAGGCTGAGCACTGCAAGACCATGCGGGCCTGCCAGACTGCAGATAAGCCGTCACATGTTCCCAAACTCTCATTCGGAGCGTTCATTTTCTGGACACCCTGCTTAACGGATGAAAGGCCTCTGTCAAAACGATTCCCTTAGAAGCTCCGCCATAAAGACGTTTGCAGTTAGGGTTCAGGGGTGGAGCAAGAATTTCAATCCCGGTTTTCAAAACCTCCATCATTGGACGGTACTAAGCAGTCGCCAGCTTCTGCTACCAGTCTACATCTGGAATCATATGTAAACGGATCGAGACGTCCATCGAAGTCCGAAAGCAGACTCCGGACAGCTTCGTCGACGTCGGACTTCGTAAACTTTGCGTTGAAAGCAAACAAGCAAGACTCAGTTGCTGGCACCGAGCGTCCGAGGTGCTGCCACGTGTAAGTCAAGAAGCAAAGCAGCGAAACATTTTCCGATGATTCAGACATCTCCCTTTGGATTTCAAGTCATTCACGCCTGAACCTCATCCCCACATTGGCTTATCGTGCAGGCGCGCTCATCTCCCCCCACCAGGACACTCCCTCGTTTCTGTCGGAGCCGTGCAGCGGCGTCGTCGAGTGCAGCGTGACCGCCATGTCGGCGGCGGACCGCGCTCTGAAGCACGGCCTGCAGATTGATGACGCTTTGTAATATTGTTCCTTTTTAACATACTCATACGAATAGGAATGACAAGCAGGAGATTGATCCAAGTAGCTTGTAGCGGCAGCCGAGGCACTGCTGCTTGTACAGACTGTTTTACATAGGAGAAGGCACGTTTGACGCTTTGGTCTCAGATAGCGCCTCATGGGGCACTGTTAGAATGAACTGTCTTTCTCCAGCTAACTTAGAAGGCGGGAGGACTGGGGACGTATTAGGTGTATCGAAAGCAAGCTTGATTGCGGAAACCCCATGGAAATACGGAGGTTTCCAAGGGGATACTGGGCTGGTGGAGTCCTGGATGTGCTTCTGACCTGAGTGCTCAGGTAGATAAGTATAAACGAATAGTTGAAATGGATGTAAAGACATCCGATTGGATTAAAGCAATGTTTGGCTGGACTTTCGAAAGATACTAGGGCCTCAACATTAGTCGTAGTGGTTGCACGAGGGCAAGATAATCAGACACTACACTAGATACAATGATGAAGGCCAATTAGTGGGTGCGCCCAATATTAGGAACAGCTTTCTCAGTCTGAATTGGCATTTTACATGATAAACAGATCGACCAGGTCGAGCCTGAAAGACAGCGATGCAAAGACATCACTGCCGGACTTACTAAGATCGAATAAGATTGCTGACTGATTTTTGCCGCAGGCTGTCGTGTTATCCAATTCAATTTTGCTGCGTGCAGGCAGACGTGTTGCCAGATCATTCATAAGAAGTTGGTGTCCTTGGGGAAACCATGCCCTGCTGTGCATGCACGGTCACGCGGAGCCTGCCCGTCTGTGTGAGCTAACTTAGACGTCCGCAGGCGGCCCGGCCGCGCGGCAGGCGCTCGCCGCGGCCGTAACTGGCCCCTCGGACTTCCGGGTGTACGATACTCGCCCTGCTCTAGTTGGAATCTTCTGGAATCCACATGAGTGAACCAGGTGCGGCCGCCTACCCCAGCACGTTTCAACCGGGCGTTTAGCACCGTCCAACCGCATTGAGCCAGAAAATCAACGGTGAACAACCAACGTACCCTCGGGAGCACTGTCAACATCAGCTGAATCTCCAGGGGGCGCCTACAATGGCGCTATTAGTATTCCAAGGTTGAGCAATGGCGACGGTTTTACTCGATCGCATAGCTGCGTCAAAATGCCATGCAATTGAAATGCAAGGCATGTTCATTTGTGGGAGACCTACTGGCGTCATAGCATAAAGGCCATATGACTCTTTCTGCTCGTGTTTTTGTTCGAGCGTGACAAAATGGTTAAAAGATGAAGGTGTTCAGCTTCTGAACTACAATGGCTCTGGTGGTGGCAGACCAGCTCTCCATAGTCGATTCCCTTGCCTCTCTCCGAACAGACACTCGCAGACGATTTTCACAGCGAGTCACTCTGGCTCAGACAGCGTCGAAAGCACCTGCTCGAGCTTCTCCTTTCTGCCACCCACTCATCACAAACTCAGCAGTCAAAAGGAAGTGCATCTGGCAAAGTCGGTCTTTCAGCAGCAGCTGGTTGGCAGGGACAACTCCATCTAGAGATCTGTGTGCAAGAAGGGCATTGCCAGAAGAGGCAAAGGAAAGAAGGGCGTCAGGGGTGCGTGCGGCCTTGTCTGGCATTCTCCACAATGAGGTAAGGAGACTGACACAGTCGCCTTCTTCTCCAACTATACTGCGTGCAACAGCATAGACTAAGTGCTGTTGGATAGATGAAAGAGAGCGCACAGTAGGCTAACAAGATCATCGCAATCTATTCTCTATCTTCTGCTCCCACAGGTCATTTGAGATGTGTTGAAGAAGTCAATACTTTTAGTGGGTCAGTACAGTGGCTGTGCATCCAAGAGTCAAATCGTTTATGTGGACCAAGAATAGAGGAAGCAGGGTTTCTTGCAGAAGTAGGTTGGGCAGCCAGCAAAGCCCTGAAGTCACGCAATAGTTTATGACTAGGACAGAAGAGGAACTGAAGGGCGTCAACAAAGAACAGTCAAAAAGTGCATCGAAAGTTTCAGGCAGCTGTGACACGCGTGTTTGAGTGCCATGGAGAACCTTTGTCCATGTCCTATTTCTGTGAATCTGAGGTATCTGTTGAACGTCTCTAGAAAGCTTATGAGCATTCGTCACCAAAGGCCAGTCTCGTCCTGTACTGATGGAGAAGACTTCCTGTAGAACTTCCAAGGGCGTCGGTTGTCTGCTTCCATGGTCCTTGAATAGCCTTTGAGCATGTGGCACCTGTTTCCCCAGGCTCTGACCTTGTCGCCCCCCTGCCCTTTGATCCATCTTTATTATAAATTGCCTGGTGAGGAAAGATCGTGGTCGTTGCATCTGGGTTTTGTTCGACTTTTTCATTGATGTTGGCTGCGACTGTCGCTAGAATTTTGCATAGGACCTATGACATGACCACTTCTGCACTTTTGTCACAAGCTCCTCAGCATTGGGAAAACTTATCCGAGGCTCTTCTATGCTTGAACAACAAGTTTTCTTGAACTGAGAGACTGGTAGATTCTCTCTTGAGCACGGAAGAGCCAGCTAAGTGGCAAGAGCCTAGAAGATAAAGCTGACCATCATATTGGAGGTTAACAAGCAATGGACCACGTCGGTAACACTAACAATTTCACCACATTATAACGCAAGGACTTGATTGGTGGTCATTAAGCAGTTCGCTCATATAGTCGGCGCAGAGACTGAGAGTGTCTGTGAGCAAGGCATCTCTTCAGCCGTCTCTTTAAGGGTAAGCTTTCTAGCCAAGTCTCAGGGATGGTGTCAATGAAGTAATCAGTCACCTTCTAGGCCCCAAGCCTACCGATTGACACCGGTCAGAGTCTTTCTTTCAGTGCTTTCTCTTACACAAGTTCTTGCCTCCTTCCAGGTCTTGGTTACCACCGCAGCCGCATGCGTCCTGTGCCAGGGGTTGAAGCCGTTTGCCGCCCTGGCTGAGGGCAAGCCCCTCAACTGGCGATTGGTGTACAAGTCGGGAGGCATGCCTTCATCTCACACCTCCAGTGTCACTGCCTTGGCAACGGCTGTTGGCCTCGAAAGGTAAGCACAAACTCTAGAGAAAATCGCTCGCTTGAAACCTTTCCAAATGCCTATTTACATTCTGAAAGATCTTGTTGCAGTCGTTTCTTTTGGTCGTTCCGAGGGGCAATCCGCTAGAGGATGTCGCCTGGTAGTAACAGCGACTGTATAGCCGGCTTACAGACGGGCTTCTTCACTTCAAATCAAGTCACTGACGTCTGTTCTTGAGAAGCATGCGCTAGGGGTAAATTCCTTTGGCGTGCTGTCGACGTCTATTGGCCCTCGATGACCAGACTTTGAAGGGTGGTGTGATGATGTGGGTCAATTGAGCCACCAAAACTTCACCTTGCTGTACTTGATTAAAAGTTGATGAACGAGAATTAAGCTTTTGGATTCCCTCGTCCAGGAACTTTTGGGTCCGCTTCCTTAGCGCAACCTCCTACCAGACGCTTCGAGTGTGTTGAAACTGCGGCCAGGCTTTGCTTGAAAGCAGCCGCACAGCGCTCTGTCGTAAAACCTACCTGCGGGGAAAGCAAGAGGAGAATTGAGCAAACCGTGTACGAACCCTCCTACTCTGCTTCTTTGCAGGGGGCTCGACGATGATCTCTTCGCAATCTGCGTGGTACTGGCTTGCATCGTCATGTATGACGCACAGGTACGTCATGTTCTTCGTCTCGAACAATGTTTCCGGCTATGCAAAGGCTGTGACGTGACTACAACGGGAACGCCAGGATCTATCTGCAATCTCCCTCAGCTCGTCACAAGATCCAAACCTTGCAGACTGCCCAATGCCCTTCTCGTTTGTCCAGTCGTGTCAACTTCGCACTTTGTTCTGAACACTTTGAGCGTCCAACGATCGGATGAGGAAACTTGATCTGAATTCTTTGCCGATATACTCTACCGTCATCGACCGCCCTTCTGCTGTCCGCAGAAAAACCCTGGCGTGCGTGACCGCTCGAAACCTGACTGTTTTCCATCCGCACTCAACCGTCTGTTTCCGGTTCCAGGGGGTGCGATACGCTGTCGGCAAACAAGCGGAGGTCCTCAACTCTTTAGTCATCCCCCAGATATCTGAGCCCCCCGCAAAGTTGCTCGACGAAGCGGAGCAAAGGGAGGCCCCGCAGGCAGAGAAAATGTTGGTTGCGAACACTAGTAAACATGCAAGCACCTCGCAAACAGGGCCTTCTGGAAGGTGGGTCGAAACAGCCGCCGGGAGGCCTGGTTCGGAAAGGGACACGTGGCGCGAATCGAGCGGTCGAGCGTCTCAATCGGACCGTGCCACGAGGAGTGTAACGGACAAGCTGGAAGAAGCACTGTCTGCCCCTGAGGGGGCTGCCTGGATTAAGAGGATGAACGTGGAAGGGGGAGAGGGGGTTTCGAAGGAAGAGGAATGGTCGTACAGCCCAGCTTACCGATCGAAAGATGTTCGAGAAAGTAACGGGGCCGGGGACGTTGCTAGACGGGGTGAGAGCTTCTCGGAGGGGCGAGGTTTGGCAGAGGGGTACCCAAAAGCGTGGCGGCACGTTCCGCTAAAGGAAGCGGTTGGGCACTCCAAGTTGGAAGTTGCGGTGGGGGGGGTAGCGGGAGTCGTGCTAGCGTTTGCCTTCCACGCTACCGTTTTCGGGGGCCGCCTGTAAGCGATGCTTGCAGCTGCTTCGCAACGATTTGCAATATCACGGACGGCGCTGCGTAATCGGATGTTCAAGACGTGTCAAGCCAAGCATGTATGCGCAAGACAGGTGGCCAGAGAACCTCGTCAAACCCCGGGCTTTCACCTCAATCACTTGGATTCCCGGACATGGTCATATACTGTTGTGAACTACTAATTGTTGTATAATCCTTAACACTATTCGTAATTACAGATGTTGAGTAGATCTGTACAGCACATGTGGGCCGGGGTATACGGTATACCTCGGGCAGCCTGCAAATCACTGAGTCGGTCATCATTGCTTCCAATCACATGATGTGCAATGCAATGACAGACATGTCAAGCACATGCATGGCGCGCCATATATATAACCGACTTGCAATGTGTCATTTAATTGTGACTCACGGTCGCGCATCGATGCAATTACTTGTATAGAAGCTTTGCCTTCACAATTTTCCCTGGCGACACTTGCGTTGAATGTTGCAGCAACACATCTAATGAGTGAAAAGCCTGTAGACTCTTGCGTCTTAGACCATTGCAAACCGATGATCAAACAATGACGAGTAAGGCGTGATCAATGACCACCAAGGATGTTCTGTTCGATTTCTACACGCAAAGCAAGGAATGTCGGTGGACCGTCAACTCTACATGATAGCGTTTCTCAGCAGTGTCAGTGTTCCTATACCCGAAAAATGATTTGCCCTCAGGATACCGATTGCTAGCAGATTACGCGACTGAGACAGTCGCGCGCAAAGGCAGTCCGTTTTTGCTATGCTCAGTCTAGACAGTACGAAGTAACTAGGAAGGAACCAAAAAAGGTGCGCAACGACGCGACCGTCCTAAACCTCAAGCGGTCCGGTCCCTATACTCTAGGCAGTCTTGCGACCCTACGACACCCGTTCGAAGCGACAGTTTTACAAAAGGAGCAGCCTACAATCCGAACAATTCCGTGTTTTGCTGGAGCCCCGACAACGTCAACTCCGTCTCTCCTCTCGGACTTTCTAACCACCATAATGTTGGGGGTCACTCTTCCGCCCCCTCCCCTTTTCCGGGGGGCGATTCTCGCCCCGTAGGAAACCCTCCATTTACATCCCTTCCTGCGCGATTTCCTCAAACACGCGCAGCCTCCGCTGCCGTTTCGGCTCGACTTTCATTTGGGGGCTTCCCCCCTTAACGGGGGATCCCTTCCCGCTCTCCTTTGCGGCAGCCGCCTCGAGCACTGCCATGAACATCCCCTTCCCGCGGGGGGGTCCTTCCTTCGGGAAGCTCAGCGGACTCGCGCTGAACCCGAGCGACTGCCACGCGTTGTTCTCGCTCTCGGGCTGCTTCTGGTTATCCTTAACCGGGGTCAGGACCCGGTTCCGCTTGACCCCCGCTGCCGCGGGGCCCTGTTGCACCGGGTTCGGCGCGTCCTGTGGGATGTTTTCGTTCTCGTGGTCCGATTCCCAGGGCCTTTCGTCGATCTCGCTGGGAAGGCTCGTCGAATGGTACAGGGCCGAGCGAGTCCCTGCTGCCCTCTCCGGCTGAGAACTCGGCAGCCGCTCGAAGCTGCGCCGCGGAGAGTTGACCTTCGACGGGGAGCTGACACGTGTCACCCCCCCGAGGTGCTCGCGCGAGCCCTCCCGGGAGAACCGGGGCCCCAACACGCTGCGGATCGGCTGCGGCATAGACAATGGCTCAATAGTCTGCTCGGGGGCTGACGTCGCCCGCAGAAGATTTTCCTCCGTACCGGACCCCCCGTTAACGTGAACTGGCGCGGAAATTGCCCGTTCTGGCTGTGCTGGTTTCGGTTGGACGGTCTCGGTTTGTTTTGGGGGAGGGCCGTACCTGTCTACTGCTGGCTGGGGGGTTTTCACACCTGCTGTCGGTGGGCCGTAGCGCTGGTTGCTTGGGGGCTGTGCGAATAGCGCCTTCGCGGCCGGGCTCTTCTCATGGGGGGGTCGGTTCGCGTTCTGAACCTGGGGCCCATTTACACCCTGGGACCTGTTCACACTGTGCAGCTGGGGGCCGTTTATCCCTTGAGCCTGTGGCCTGTTCACGTTCTGCGCATAGCGGTGGGCAGTCTGTGGGAATGCGGTCTGTCCGGAGAGGTTTGGGGGCGCGTTTACATTGGAGGTGGGCGGGCGCAACGGGCTGGTGTGAACAGCCGCCCGGTTGAGGGGCTTCTGCGGGGGTGGCGGGCCCATTGGATGCGGGCCGTTAAAGCACCGGTGCTCGTTCGGGGGGGGTAGCAAAGGCTGCCTCTCCGGCCCCCATGACATGGGCCCCCCCGCCTTCTGGTGAGGAACAAACGGCGGGGCAGCGTAGGAGAAACCCGAGTTCGGCTTCGGTTTCTGCGGGGGGTTTGCCACGGACTGACGCCAGGGCTGGTTCTGACGCTGCAGAGGGGCGCTCATTGGCCGGGCCTGGAAACCCGGCTGCTGTTGCGGCGCCACCTGGCGGTGGCTCAGGCCCGGCTGACGTGGCACCGGGGCGGCGAACGGGTGCTCGCCACCTGACGCCGGGCGCTCCCCCTCGGGGGGCGAAGTCAAGTCTTCGGGAAGGGCGAACACCGGGGGGGTGACGGTCCGCGAGGGGGGCAGCAGGCTCAGGAGTTCTTCCTCAACATCCACCGGTTTGGGGTTGAACCCGGGTTGAGGGTTAAGCCCAGACTGGGAGTACGCTACCGGTTTGGCGCTTAACCCACCCGCAAACCCGGGGTCCGAGAGGATTGCCCGCAGCGCGTCGGCCACGCTCTGCAGCTCGGGCTGCGCGTTCTTGCGCTGCTGGAGTTGAACTAGAGTGGGCGCGCGCGCCGCAAACCAGGAGGCCCTGTTCTTGGCCTCGGCGTCGTTGGCAGACTGCCCCGCCTGAGTCGCCTCGATCTCGCGCAGCATCTCCTGGGCCCGCTCGAAGCTCTTCTGGTGGCTCTCGCTGCCCCACTTGCCCTCGCCGGCGGGGGTCACGTTGTTCAGGATCGCGCGCGCCTCGTCGATGCGGGCTTGCTTCATGAGGCAGATCCCGAGGTTGCACATCTTGTTGTTGTCGGGCTCAATGCTCAGGGCTTTCCTGCAGGATATTGGACAAAGGGAGGGGTTAGAGAAGCTTTTGTGGGCTCTAATTGTTTCATGTTTTGATCTTTGAATTCAATGGTTTTCAGATTAACAGACATTTAGTTACCTGATTCTCGAACTGCTGACTTATCCAATGTGCACGGAATGCAGCTCAGGACAAGAAGCAAAGCTGGTCAAGAAAAGGCGGCAGTCACAAGAGTCTGGGCCTTTAAGGGCTGGCTCTTCTTCGACAAGTATACATGACTTCAACTTGAATCAACATAGACGAACCCGCTCCATATCAAAGCAGTCTGACAGTTGTGGATCTTCAAAGCGGGACCTTCCTCAGTTCCTCACATTTGAAAGTCGCATGCATTTCAAGTTGGTCGTTATTAACCGCCACAGCTTCCAATCCATTCCTATGCGCCCTTGCTTGGTTTGAGTATGCAACGCTGAAGCTACCAGTGACACCTGTCACACTAACGGTGCATGTCAAACAAGACTCTAAGAAGCTGACAGAGCAATTTTAGTAGAGCCCACTGACCTGTACACCGCCTCAGCTGCGAGGAAGTTGTTCTGCTGCATGTAAGCCCAGCCCAGGTTTCCCTGCAAACCAAAAGGCAAACATCTCAGTTAAGCCATAGTTCCGGGCCAAAACAGGGGGTTTGCGAGAAGCGTCCCAAAGCTGTCAGTGGAGGGCAGCTTTCACGCAGCATGGAAAAGCTTCTAAAGTAACACATGCAATGATGGCGAGAAAGACTGCCCGCTCGACTGAAATCAGTAGAAAAATATCCGACAAAAGTAACAGCCCACAAATCAGCACACATCCAAAAGAGGCAGAGGGAAAGAGATAAGGCCTTACCAGCCAAAGCAAACTGGTCAGAAGCACAATAAGAAGGGACTGAAATATGCACTCACCAGCAGACGCGTGGCCTCCTGTTCGATCGACACCTGGAACTTCTTGCCCTGGCTGCGCGCGGTCTTGGTGCGCTTACCATTGAAGGCAAGCCCCTGGTGAATCAGGTTCAGCTTGTGCTTCAGCAGCTCGATCTGGTCGTCCAAGCGGCCGCATCGCTGCGAAAACGTCAAGCTGCATTGTTCAGAGATGCACTTTTCCGCTTCTTCCGTATTCTGCAGATTCGCATGTCCTTGTTTGTACGGTAATGTTTGGAAGCACTGCCATGAGTGGTCCAACTCTGAGGAGCGAACTGTTACAGAACAAGAAACAACCAGATATGCACAGGAGGGAGAAAGACTTAACCCAACTGCCGAAGTACAGTAAGGCAGAGAGAAAGCGGCGCACTTCCTTTGAAAGATGGAAAGCATAAACAGAGTAGAGATCAGAACAAGCTTTCACACACTGCTGATGACAAGCGCTTATCATTGCTCTAACCAAACAACCAGGACGTGCGCAAAGGTGACATAGAACCTGAGGCAAATGGAGCCACAAACTCATAGAGTAAGCAAATAAATAAGGCAGTATACTACACTACTCACCTTGTACAGGTCCAAGAGGACGTTGTCGAGCGACTCTTGCGCGGCCTCGGAGCACTTAATGCGCAGCGACTTGATCGCCTCGATGGCCTCCTCGGAGCGCCCCTGCTGCTTCATCACAATGGCCATGTCCTTGAGCGCGGAGTCGACGCGATCGTTGGCGTTGATTGCCTTCCAAAAGAGGGCGATCGCTTTCTCGGGGTCCTTGTCGACCAGCTGTAGGGATAAGACGCAAATAGTTCAGAGAGAGTAAGTCCAGTTTGATCGTATCCTAGTGGAGTCGAGCAATATCACCTTTTCCACCAGCCGCAGAAAGACAAGGAACCCAGATGAGACTGAAACCTAAAGAGAAGCGATAAAAGAGAGGGAAGGTTGTGGCGGCATCTGGGGCCCAGTGGAAGGAAAGTTGAAGTAGTACTTGAAAACAGAGCACTAAAAGGATGGATTGACATTCAGAGGAAACTGTCACCCTATGTGATTAGTTCTTGAGAAGGTTGAGAGATGGATGACAAGGGGTTGGGTGCCCAATAAAGGAGAGTTCCTTCCCATTTGAGATTCTCTTTGAGAAGGTGCGAGCTTATGAAACAAAATCTGCGTGACGGGTTGGTAAAGAGGTAGGTACACTCCATCATGTTAAAATGCAGACTTTATTAGGTTTGCTAAGCGCCAAGAGTCTGAGGGGTTGACGCTATTTCTTCTGGGAACCTGTCTGTCCGTCGTTATGATACATCTTCCAACAACGAGACACTGATTATCAACCTGAAAGAAGAAGCAGCAACGATAGGTTCCACATGCTGGAGAAAGCTAAAATGGAACGCGGCTGGTTGGTCCTTGCTGTACCAGAACATAGTCGCGCCCAAAAGGGTTCCTTCTCTCTGATAGACTCTATAATGCTTGGAATATAAGCATCTGAAACTGACAAGTTGCCGTTTGAGCATGCACAGACCTAGCTGACGAACACGTTCACAGATCAAACCTTTGCATTGAGAGCGTTTCAAGTGAGGCCTTTCCAGAAGTTCATGCTTGGGTATCTTCCTTCCCAAACTTCCTCTGCAAACTCCCCGTAACTTTGGAGGTGATCAGCGTCTCAGGGACAACTGACGAAACACACAAAGAGGCAAGGAAGAGACCCAGAGGAGAACAATACGTTGAGTGACAGATGCTTAACAGTCGTCTCAACCTGCGTATGCTGCTCAAATTGAAGTTACCATGACACTAACCAATCCAGCGGCATTTCCCATTGCCTACAGACTATGCCAACTGCTAACATGTTCTTGAATTTGGAACCCATTGGTTGCATGTCCGCACCTTGACCTAAACCTATATCCCCAAGCATTTCTCTTGACAACTTGGTAAACAAGCAGAGCGGGAACCCGCAAGAAACCTCCGCCCAGTACCTGCAATAAAAAGACTGCATTGCAACAAAGAAAGAGCACCATTACTGTCCGGTTTTCAAACCAGACCAAACCTTACCTGCACATGCTTCGCTCTGACATAAGGCGAATCCCCCATTGGCACCTTATGCATGACGTGAAAGTCGTTTGTCTCCCTCACAGCACCCCCGTTCGCCTCAAACCCTGCCAGCAACCCCCCCAAAGAATCGTGAGGTCGGCTCTGTGCTTTCATCGGGGAGCAAGGCGCAGACTTCGACATCCTGACCCCCTCGTGCTCAAACCCAACCGCAGCCAAACCCAGCCGGTGCTGCTCATGGTGCCACAGCGCCGACATCGTGCGCCGCCCCCAGTCCCTGCCTGCTGTCACTCCGCCACCTGTCGCCAGGTGTTACACGCGACCCTGGCTAGAGCACCACGCATGCTCCCTTGCATTTGCAGGGGTTTCAATAACCTGCGCCGATCAACAAAGAAAGTTCGCGGCAATGCTGGCCGACAAAAAATGAGATGCTGATTGGTCTTCTTGCCCTCTCGGCGGCTGAAGAAATCATGCAATGGCTATGCGTTGCTGCAGAAGCTTCGACACGACACGCTTCAAGTTCAAATGTCTTAGACTGGACGAAACAGCAATGTGGGTACGGTAGCTCCGTTGACAGCCAGCTTTGATCTCTTTTGCTCTGCTTGTTTCAGACCTCATCGAGATGCATCCTGCACGTTCTCCACTGGGCAGCCGCATTGCTTTGCTTGGAAGGAGGCCGCCTCGTCCTAGGACTACAATCCCAGTCCGGCACCCATGAGGGAGCCTCCACAGATCTTGGCAGAAGCAATCAGTGCATCACGTCAGTCTGTCACTGATTTCTTTCCTCGCATGAGGCTGGCAGCTGGATTTCCCTCTATTCCGCTTGACCCATCTTGACCGCGGGCAAATGCCAAGCTTGGCGAAGACGTGATTTTTAAGGAGGAGGTAACGTGAAGGGCATAAAACCAACTAGCGTTTCACGTGTCGAGAATCCGGCCGGTCGACGAGAAAGGAAGCCGCGGAGCTTCGATGTTCCACGTCGAACCCTGCTTGCTCAGTAAGTGTAACGCCTGAGGGCACGTTCGACAATCCTCTTCAATGATAGGTTGGTTTCTAGCGCAATGTAAGCCAGGTAGTGGCCGAGTCTTGCCGAGGAATTGTCCAACGGATAGATTGCCCCGTGCACCGCGTTTCGCTATGGGTGTCTGCCTCTCACGACAATTATATTATGTGCTGTGAGCAGCGGAGATTGAAATGATGGCAAAATGCGCGCGGGCGCGGAACAATCATCCCGCCGCACGTACAAACAAAGTTTCAGCCTGAAACCCGGCAACCAATCGGAGCTCAGAATGTTGGGTTAAGCGCGAAAGGCGGGATTCTCATAGAGTCGTGAGTCGTGACTCGTCATTGGGTAGAACTTCAGCCTACTTAGCCTAGAAGGTACCTTGTATCAGTATCAGGCCACACCACACCAGGATCGGACCGGACCTTGGTCGTTTCCTTGTCGTTTCGTCGTTGCATGGCCCTCTAGTTACTAGTTAAGGTGGTAAGACGGTATTCAACAGTGGGAGCATGTTTGAGATGGGATATCTTGAGCTAGAGTTCACGGAATCAAGTTCTGTCTTTTCGAAATGGTTGGGCCCATCAAAGATC